TGAAAATTACAGAACTCACACAAAACAAGTCATCTACTGACTAAATTTTGTTTAATACTCATTTTTATCTAGATTTTACCATAACATGCAGTACATGAACACTAAGTAGAGAATGTGTCTTTCCCATGACTGATAGCTACCTTAATTTATGTAGGCTTTTGTGTATCAGGGACAACTCAAGTCTAGAAAAAGACACTTGAGATCTTTAATCCATTTTACAAAAAGGGTAGATTCAGCCAAGAATTTACTGCAGAATATAGATATTATCACTAAACTTGTTCTACTTGTTTAGAATGAAACAAGGAAAAAATGGACGTGCTCAGTTTAGCTGTAGATGCAAACAGTCATTTTCCTTTTCTTGAGAAATCATTTTCTTCAAGCATTACTTCTTTACTAAAAACTAAGATATTAGATGCTGTCACAGACAGAATTCTGCAGAAAATAGAGTTTGTATCATAAGATACTCCCCTTGCAGCAGGGTTCCAAAAGAAATCCAAATCAACTTGTTATACTAAATAAAGAAGCCTCTGGCATTCCAGCACTGTAATACTACTTCTTGTAGTCATATAAAAAATTGTGACTATTTTAACAGATTAAGGCAAAAGCTACTGATGGACTTGCTTTCCATTCCAGCCTATGCCTCTGACTTGCACACTTGCACACTTCTACAACCTGTGTCCTCAAGTACCAGTAGATATATTTCCTATTTGTAAAGGTAATGTAATTTGAACATACCTGTGTTTTTTTTATTTCTTTTTAAAAACCACAGAATGACTTTCATTCTCCTATTTCTGCCACTGACCATTTGCCTTCCTGGAGTCAAATCCATTGAATAATGCATACACTGAAAAATAATTTGCATAACTGCATCTAGTTAAGCTAAACAAACCACCTGTTCAAACAAGAGGGTCCCATCACACCGCAGGTACTTGTTCTCCAGAAGCAGATGGGGGACTGACAAGGTGATAAAGTGCTTTTATTCAGCCTTTGTCTAAACATGCAAATTGTAAATACCTTGCACAAACACTACAGCACTCCTTAAAAAAAAAAAAAAAAAAAAAAAAGGCACCATCTCATATGGCTGCAAGGTGCAACCTTCATTAACATCCTCCCATTTGGTTTTATTCTAGAAGTGCATCATTATTCCGAAGCCAGAGAACTGAGCTTGCAACACACCAACTTGGCTCCATCTCCAAGGGCAGCTTTCTTCCATATAAATCAAATAGACACAGTGCAGTTACAGGAAAGCAAGGCACATTTTGGCTATGAGAAAGTGTTCCTTACCTGCACAAGTACATGAGAACATTAAGAGTCAACATTTACAATGCCCTTTTTAATGTATTTAAACAGCCTTTTAATCTAAAATATGAGTAATACTCACAGTAAGCGCGCAGCCTCATGATCTGAATTCCTACAGGCAGCATTAAACCCACTCATTCTATTTTTGTTTTCCTTACACAGCAAAGTTGGCAAGAAGAAAATTTCAAGACCTCCTCCTAGATTGGTTTTAATTTTGGTCTGAGCTCATAAAGCTGTTAAACACTTCTGAAAGTCCCACCATCTTCTTCAAAACTCTCAGTGTCTTACAAGTAACTGATTCTCTCTCTTCTTTCAGAGCACAAACAGCATCAGTTCCTTGTAAATATAAATAACAAATAAATTATACCCATTAAAAACTGTACTGTTTCTAAAATAGCGTATGCACAGAATCTTTCCTTCTCTGAGAAGCCATTAATAATTTAACTAGGAGGGTCTACTAAATGCTGGCCACTGATGTGTTACGTGATCAGATTACAGTTGTGCCTTTGTGCTCCTTTTCTGAAAATTAAATTATATTCTAAAAGTTTCAAGAACCTTGAGGTCAAAATAAAGTCGGACCTGAGCTGTATGTTTTCAATAGAGAAAGATATTTTAAACAAAATTAAATTATTTGCATGAAAATCCTGCTTCTCCAGCATTAAAAATGGAAAGGGCAATTACAGCACACCTATTCGATCAATTCCCCAGCTCTCAGGAACAACCAAACAAGGCATGAAGCGTGCCAAAAACTTACAAAATTTTCCAAAATCAAGAAGTAATTTTTTTTTTTTGGTGGAAAAAGCAATCAGACCACACAGAAGAGCCTCCTTCCTATCACATTACACCAGTAACTTCGTACACGTACCGAGTGTCCAAGCACCACCTATGTTAAATTTCACAGGCCACGACTTAAACTCTTTTTAACAGAGCAAAATTTTAGAGATACAAATCAACCTGATTGTGGGAGGGAAAGCATTCAAGCTTGGTTATGGTCTGACTTTTGGGCAGTCCTATGTAGAGCCAGGAGCTGAAGACAGTGACCCTTGTGGGTCCTTTCCAACTCAGGATATTCTATGATTCTCCTCAATACTTAGCAGCAATATGGGCCTTCTGACTCACATAGCCAATTACAACCTTGATTCCTACCACTATCTTCTGACTGGTCCGAGGCAGCAAGGTGCCATTGTGATGGTGCCCAACAACTGTATGCACACCCCAGGGCCCACCAGCACAGATGACACATGGGACTTACTCCACTTCTTGGCATTGGTGGACAATTCCACTGTTGGTCTCATAAAATAATTCACAATACTGAAGAGAACAGCCTTCCCTCCAAGTTACATTCTAACAAATAATCCTAGGAGAGCTTTACCCTCTTATCCTTACAATAAATTACTTCTCCTGGCTCAGAGCTTTAAGATTCTATTGCTTTTTAAGTTAGTGTTGAAAGATTTAATCACAGATTTGCTAGATTTAACCACTCAACCCAAGGTTTCCCAGAACTTCCATGCTCCAACAAGAGTTACAAGAGAAGTTCCCTGCGATGAACTACTGGGGAAAAAAAAGGATTTACTATGGATTTCCTCCCAGTAATCATTCATAGCTTGAGTTTAGCAATAAAGAAATCCATCATCATGTGTCTCCAGCACCATCTGGGAGACCAGGCTTTTGGCAGACAAAAATGGAGCAGCAATTGCCCAGGAGCACAAGAAATCAATGGCTTCCCTGCACAGAGGGAGCAACAGGCTGCTCCCACTGGCACAGGTCATTGATTTCCCTTTCTGCCAGCAAAGCTGCTTTGCGCACTCAGGGAACAAAGTCTCCACTACATCACAATGATGCACACTCCCTCTGAGAGACCCTGCCCCTACTAATGCAGCAGGCAGCAAGTGATACAATTTGAGCAGGACAGAAAGGGAAGAACTGTGGAGACACCTGCCTCTGGGTAGAGCAGTTAGGCACTGATGTTACAGGCTGAAAGGTAGCTAATAAACGCCCAGTTTGAGGCTGGGTTTTGGGCTGTGACGTAGATAACAAATGCCCCACTATACTGCTGATCTAAACTCATTTCAAATCCCTGGACTTGAAAAGAAAATGACATGTCTGTCAGGAAAACCTGACCTTCCCTTCCTGCCCAGTAACAGAACAGTACTATTTATTTCTAGCAATTAGAGCTGTGAAACAGATTTGATAGATCTTAAGTACAGTCATATAGGGGAGTCTGGAATACATGACAGTCATGTCATCAAGACATTTGTATCTCAACATAAGTTGAGAGCTTCCCCTGAAACACATTTTACCTTTGCCGCAAGTAAGCATTTTGCCCCAGGTCTGAGTTCCCAGAGAAGCCACAGTAATGGGATCATTAAAAGCATGTACGCAGTCATCAAGAACAGAACAAGGCTGTCTGTAAATGGTGTCAGAGGTTACCAGTATAAAACAGCAGATGGAATGGATTTCTGGTCAGTCCAGACTTGGCTCTGATTTGAACCAGTGCTCTGAATAAGCAGCTTGTCCACTAACAGCCATCTCTCGGATCAGAAGGTACTGCTGTACTTGTTTCCAGAGCTGTGCCCACATATTGACCCCAGTAGCCATATACATGTGAAGCTCACCAATGGATCTAGCTGGCAGAGTATTTACCTGAACCAAGATTGTTTTGCAAGCCATCTGCTGATAGCTACACTGTTAGCTGTATCTAGGCTCAGTTATTCACAGATAATCTGTAAAGCAGTTAAAGTAGAAATACCTTAGTTTCTCTAGCAGTTCTTCAGTGAGCCCATTTGCTCACTCTGCCCACATTCTATACCTATATCATGTTCTCAGATTAAAAGGTTACATTTGAAAATTTAACTATGTTCCTTATTTCTCTAGAGTCATCACTGCTCTAAATCAATTCAGGTCATGCTGAAATTAGCCTTGTCCTTCATGACGTTAACAGCTTCTCCAGTTTTGCTATAATTAATAAATGTTCGTAGATAAATTACAAATAAAGTGAAAGACAAAAAGAAGTAGGATTAGAGTTTAATATTTTTTTCCTTGTCTCTTCCACCCTGAGTTCAATAAGAAGCCTCTCAAAAAATCTCACCATACCCCAGCACAATTTAATTAGTCAGCAGAGACACTGCTTGAAGGGATTTCATTGAACACGTTACCTACAAGAGAGTCCTTAACAGATACAGGCACCGTGGTTAACTCTCTCTCTTTTTCTGTGAGAGGGAAAAATCTCACATTTTGTAAGGTTTTCAGCTTTCTCTCTGTTAAAGAGAGATTCAATTTGGCCATTCTGGAAAGCAGTAGGTCTGGATTTAGCATGGTGGGATGTGTCTCCTCACTTTTCGATTGTATAGCTTATGGAAAGGCAAATATAGTGACTCAAAACTGAAAGTTAACAGAATAAGATTTTTTAAAACAACATCCTTCATCCCAAGCTTGCAGAATGCATAGCCAAAACCACATCATACTTTTGACTGTCAGATTTAGAGCTATTATTTAATCACAAACAGCAAGACCATCATTGAAGCCAATAAATGCTTTACAGTATGTTCTTGAACTGATCACAGATCTTACATAATAAACAGTAGAAGACTTGATTCCAGATTCCCACCAGAGAAAAGTAATTTTCTACTTAAATACTATTATGTTCCTTTGGAAAATTGCCTTTTCTTTATGTTGAAAATGATTATGAGGAAAATTCTTACCTGTTTTCCATCTAGTGTATACAAGCGTTTAACGACTCCCGAATCAAGCTTGATGGCATCAGTTATATCAGTAAGAACCTGTTCAAATGAATGTGCTGTCTTCTTGTTAAGCAGAATCCGGACTGCCTTCCGTGGTTTCACTCCACTTCTGATGATTGTGACTAGTTTAGGCCTAATGAAATCCTTATTTTCTTTTGTATCTGGAGTACCTCCTTTAGCAGTGGCAAGAGACGGCACTGAACGAGAAGTAGAAGTTGTCTTAACATTCACTGACCAGTTTGGGTTTACATTCTTCGTGTACTCCAGCTTCTTGAAGGGCTCTATTGAACCACACACATAGCTTTCCCCTGCAGAAACAAAAGTGCCAGACCAGCAAGTCAGATTGGAGAGAGGGGAAAAAAAAAAATTAAACATTTACTGTTATCACTCTTGATCTACAGTGTGTAAGGCATTGATATTGTCCCTCTTCTGCTGCTACAGACTAAGGTATCTTTTAAAAGACACTCATCAGCTGATCATTAAGTAAGGAAAATGCTGTTATGAACTGCTTGAGAGTAGTGGTTTTCTCTTCAGAAAGCACTACCAAAGTGGGGACTACTTCCATCAATAAGCAGTGTTCATATCTAATCACCTGTCCAGCTCCAGTCCATTTTCACAGTAGTCCACCAGCCCTCATGCTTCCAAGCAAAACAGCATGCCCCAAACACTTCAGAGGAAATAGTATGCAACATTATCAGAAACTATAGGTTATACATTACTTTCAGAAAAAAGTAGGTGAAAACATCACAGGAAATTTTTCACATTTGATTATTTGAAGCTTTAAGTAACATAAAACTAGATTATGTGTACTCAAATCTTTTTATATTATTCTGTTGACTCAGGGTATTATAAAGGGGAAAAAGAAGGAACAGGAATTACAGAGCTCCCCTCCCACCACAGTGGGAACCACAGCTTAAAGAAAACCATGGTTTAAGGAAAAGACTTGGCTATAGTTCAGATTTCTATTGGAACATTATCTACAATGAAGTATTTTCAGCATTTCCACGTGCACATTTTCTGGCTACATTATGGTTCCCCAGAAACAGCTTCAGCACGTCTTTATTCCTTAATCCATTTCAGCTGCAGGCTGTTGTGAAAAAGGCACCCATTTGTGTGCTCCCAACCTCTCCCTTGTGCTTGTCTGAGAGACTGCAGTGCCAGATGCACTAGGTAAGCTGGACCAGCTTATTGATCTGATGGCACAGGCCAACAAAGACAATACTTTAACACTGCAACAAACTGATCCTGCACACACTCTGGTTGCAGGAGAGAAAAAAATGCAACAACAACAAAAAACACATTAAACAACATTAGAACAAGCAAGACCACACCTTCTGGCAACATGTAGTCAAACTGGATTACAAATAAAGCAAAATCCTATCCTGAACGATACCACGGAAACATCTGAGATGTTTCAATTCTTCCGAGTTCAATAGTTCAGAAAAGATATTTATGTTTGCAGCTTATCCCAAGGTATCAAAAAAAAAAAAAAAAAGAACAAAATGTGGTGAGATGTACCTCCAATGGCAAACAGCACAACAGCACAGAAGAACCAAAGCCCCTCTACACACCAGAAAACAGACTTTTCTTTACTATGAAAGTAGTGAGGTGCTGGAACAGGCTGCCCAGAGAGGTTGTGGATGCCCCATCCCTAGAGGTGTTCAAGGCCAGATTGGATGGGACCCTGGGCAGCCTGGTCTAGTATTAAATGGGGAGGTTGGTGGCCATGCCTGTGGCAGGGGGGTTGGAGATTCATGATCCTTGAAGTCCCTTCCAACCCAGGTCATTCTTGTGTGATTTTTGAAGGATCCTTACCCCTAAGTAAAGAGGATTCACTGTTTAATTATTGCAAAGAAGAATTTAGTTTTTGTTGTAGTTGCCAAAAGGTTTCAGGACCCTCAACTCCCCAGACAGTGCAGTGCACAACAATTCAAAGAATGCCAGCAGATACATAAAATTACCTCGGTTAAAACTGGGAAGGGAACATGAAGGGGAACTTTCCTAAGATTTCAGGATGCAAAAGAGCTCCCAGTCTTGTACTAGCAGAGTTGGCATGATGCTTAAAGGTGAAACTGCAATAGCATGCTGCACAGTGATTACCAGAAAGCTAGCTGAAGGACTCCAAGACCAAGGAACTCGGAGAAACATGTGAAGATGGACTACTGAGCAGAAAAGAGAAATGCAATGACAGTGTAAGATCAAGCAAGAAGATTTTTGTTTTTCTTTTAGTGCTCTTTTAAAGCAGAGTACAAAACGCAGAATGGGAGATGAAACATTCCAAAGTTTGCTAGTCATTGTTTAACTTCAACTTTATCTGCATTTTACAGAAACATCTTAAGTGTTAAGAAAGAAATCTAAGACAGAGTGCTTACACTAACCTTAAGACAAAGGCCCTTTCTTCTAACCATGACAGAAAATGATATATATCTGCTAACAGCAGAACAAAAATACTTAGCAGCACTAATGATCCAGTAGCAATCAAACAAGACATGCTCTTTTATCCAAGTCCCAGTCCAATATTTTTAGCACTAGCTATTCATTACTGCATGGACAGGATTCACCCACAACAACTTCTTATCTTTACAAATGGTTAATTGTATAAAACAATAATATTTTGTACAGGAAAAAAGTTAAAGGATCCTGCTATGATATGAATAGGATTGTCATCAATATGATAGTAACTGCTGCATAAAGTACTTTGCAAAAGTGAAAAAAAAAATCACAGATCTTCTAGAAATTTTCACTTTCTTGAAAGGATAGCATTCCACATAATTTCTAGTATCTTCTTTATGTCAAGGTTAGGAGGCTTCTTCATAATGTATAACAGCATGTCAGCTCTTAGCTACAAAACTAATTCTGTGTAAATGACCATAAAACACTTGTTGAAGCTGTGGGATTGTTTTAACATCAGACTGTTTTCCCCTTCTTCATTTCCAACCAAGCTATATTACACCAATAAGATATCTGCACCCAAGGGAAAAATATCCTTTTCCCTTGAAGAGGCTCAAGTTTAGATACAGAATGTCTTAGAGATTGAGTATCCAAACCATTGTAAGATTAAATATCAGTAGTAATAGCTATTTTACACAAGAAAAAAGATTGAGACCTTTCCCATCACACTGCAACTTAAGATTGCTTAAGCCTCCAAGACTCTGCCTGAAGCATAAGAAAACTTGTGATAAGTTGGCCTGGGACTGCAGCTGTCATTTGTGGGTATTCCTAAGGGTAAGACCTGGCAGAAAACAAACTGAATAGGAAATAACCCATAGTCTAAAAAGTATCTCATCTCAAATTGAGTAAATTATGGTTTATGGTGATATTCAACAAACTTTGAGTACTCTCGATCCTTGGAATACTTAAGTACAAGCTTAAATTTCCTGAAGTTAGGACTCATGTTGATGGGAGCGAGAAATTTCAATGTCTAGATTAAGATCCTTTAGCATTCGTGCTGCTTACATATAGAGGAAACAGCAATATAAAGGGCAAAAAGTCTCCACCTTAGTTTTCATCCTCTCTTCAGAGCTACCTAAAGAAGAGGTTTCCTAGTGGACACCAGTCCAACAAAGCCAATTTGTGCATTTACTATTGCTTCTTCCAAAGTCTGTCCCGGTGCTGTAATGTGAAGCCTGGGAGGTCTCTGGTTCAACAGCCTGAACTGGAGTCTGGAAAAAAGCAGGCTTGCTGTAGTTAAGAGAAGACTAAAACTAATCAAGTGATAATGCATTTATTTATTTTAAATTTTTTTGTAACCTTTGGCTACTGTTGCTACAGGCAACAGCCTCACCACAGTTGAACCACTAGAGCCATTAAACACTGAAGGATACTCTCATAGGTCACAAAAGAACTTCCTAATGTGCTTCATGTAATAAAATTATATGTATGTATACATAAACATATGTATTACATATACAAATAAACGGACATAAAGTGGCTGCAGAAGAGACGCTGAATCACTGTCTGTAAGCACTGATACAAGTGTTTGATCTTCTCTTTGGTATTTGGACATTAGCAGTTAATTTTGTAGTAATGAGAATATTAGCAAACTGGAGAAAGACCAGTCTTAAAAAGGATGAGTCACTGTGCTTTTCTGTGCTAAAGGCAACCCAGCCTAAAATGGCTTCATACAGAAGCCAGTAGGTCATAGGTGGAAACCCTGGAGAAAGAACAGAACCACGGAATCAGAAAACACTCCACTCATTAGACAGCATGACTGTCAATTTATTGAATAACTTATTGATTCCTTTAAAAGAGCAAAAACTATGAAAAAGAATTGGGTTTGTAAGGAATTGTTGGCTTGGAAAATAGAAGGCTTCAGGGAGACCTCATTGTGACCTTCCAATATTTGAAGGGAGCATATAAACAGGAAGGGGAACAGCTGTTTACAAGGGTGGACAGTGATAGGACATAGGAATGGTTTTAAAGTGAGACAGGGGAGGTTTAGGTTAGATATTAGGAGGAAGTTTTTCACCCAGAGGGTGGTGACACACTGGAACAGGTTGCCCAAGGAGGTTGTGGATGCCCCATCCCTGGAGGCATTCAAGGCCAGGCTGGATGTGGCTCTGGGCAGCCTGGTCTGGTGGTTGGCGACCCTGCACATAGCAGGGGGGTTGAAACTAGATGATCATTGTGGTCCTTTTCAACCTAGGCCATTCTTTGATTCTATGAAAAGAAAATTCATGTACAAGACAACCAGCAGGGCAAACTGCAGCAATTGTACTCTTTTGCAGTGAGACATCCCAGTGAAGATGCTTAGTGCAGCAGTCATTCACTACACTTTGTTTCCCAGTGAACTGGACAACAGACAGTTTAAGAGAACAGGGAAGGGGACCAGTACCCCCAGCACAGAGCACAACAGGTACTTCTTCACTTCCATTTCCTTGGTTCTGTATAAGCAAAAGACAGGAAGAATCTCTCAGGGGATGTGACAAGGAATTCAGACTATCCCCCATCATGAAGAGCTGAATGCACAAGGAAGATGACCTGAACCAAATAAATTACTACTAAATGCTCCCAGATGTGTTAGTTCAGAGAGCAATAACCTACTTAAACTATATTAGTGCTGCCTTGTCTTTTTTCAGTATCTGAAAAAATGCAACACTGCAAATGAGACGGGGCATCGGCAGGAAATGTACCTCATCTGCCCATATTCACCTACCAATCAGACGCACCAAGAAACTTTAAATCAGGTCTCCTCAGATTTTTTGAAGGACTTTTTTGGCACATAGGTATTTTTGCTCAGTCTGGCATTAAAAAAAAATAAAAATCTTTTTTTCCTCTTTGTGATCTAAAGGAAAAAATAAAGACATAT